AATCTCAGCACAAAACTAGAGCTCGTCTATGAACAAAACGAGGTCAGTTCATGTCAATATGTTGGCTTATCTTATTGTTGGTACGAGTCTATTTCTGCGAGCACATAGATCGTTACAGAGTACTGTTTAACAAACGTATTCAGGAGAATCAAATAGTGCGGTAAGAGAATTTTTAGGTAATTTAAAATTTCACTGTGGGCGCAGAATGTGCAACATCTAAAATACGAAATGGGAAGTCGTGATTATATAGACCAAAATGGATCAAGGCTCAAGCATAACAAAATTACCGATTTAAAAGACAATAAACAAATATAGTATAAAATAGTGGATTGAATATATTATGATCATAAAATATATTTAAAGCAGATAGATATGCGCCATAAATTATAACAGACGTAAAGCACAAGGAGTAAACATGCATTATCTCCTCTTTTTCGACTCTGTCCTGGGATGGCCTGCATCACTAAGCTTGATATCGAAATACCAAGCGCAGAAAAAAGCAACAACAAAAGACAAAACAGTCAGTAAGACAAAAAATATATAAAAGGTTGTCTCGTCAAAAATATCTGTAAATGCAGGAATGTAGGAGGAAGCCCTCTTAACTACTTCTTCAGCCACATTCCTCTTTTTCATAGTATGGCTACCATATAGATAATATCGTGCGCTACCAATAAATAAAAAATATTATCAATATACTTTTATTCTTATTAATAATTTAATTACAATTTGAATTAAAATATTCTTTGATTGTTTTTATTAGCATTTTTTCGTATTTTTTATTTCTACACATCGTGACACTCATGGCCGTAGACCTCGATGATGACCCTGACAACATTCCTGACATTTTGTATGATCGCCATGAAAAGTTGAATGTCAGGGAGCCAAGAAAACGTGACTCTCAGGTTGCTTATTTTGATAATAAAAGTAACTATAATTACGATTCTCAACTATTACCTTAGAAAAAATTAAATTGTCGGAACCTGTGTGGTGTAAATCTCTAAACACTTCTCAAGCCGAGCATGAATTTTTATCAAACAAAACGGCGAGTACTTTAATACACCAGGGGGCTGTTCTCCCTGATGTCCCTCGACATGGCGATTACCTAAACATCAATAGAAAGAATGGGAGGCGATATTTCCTACGCTTTGAATCTGAGGAATCTTTATGCTACATTCCTGATACAGATCGCATTGCCGTAAATATTTGGAAAAATGATGAAATAGGCCATGTTTGTTCCTCTGAAGCAGTTCAGCATCCGCTCAACGTCCCTTCTGATCGAAGTATTAAAACAGCTCCTTCTAGTCATCCTGGAGAAGATTTATGGTCTGCGGTTTATCGTCCGCAGCGTTATTTTGATCTGCTATCCGACG